GATTGCGATCTGTTGTTTATTTAAGTTCAATAAATGATTCTGATTACTTTTCAATAGTGATATTAAATATAAACAAATTTTGTTCGTCAAAATACTCGGCGTCAGGCTCAGTCAGAGTACCAAACAACTGTTTTGAAATGGATCCTATTATGTTTAAAAGAGCTCTTTTGGTTCTAACTGAGTCTGTCTCCTGTACTAAATCTAGAATAATATTGTTCTGGCTAATAACAGTTTTTACAACATTGTTAGATAATTCTAAAAATGGCCTGCATACTTGCTTATATTCTGACATATTACATGTATCTTGGAAAATATTAGAAGTAGTGATAATCCTTTTTAGATTGCGTTTGTATTCTAATAAGTCGTGCGAAATAACGATATCGAAATAATCGCTACATACTTCCACATCGCCTATTTTCTCGAAATAGATACCAGGGCTTTCCATGAATGTAATATTGTAGTTTGGAGATCCCACAATGATCGGAGCCATCAAAGCCGACAATGTTATAAAGAGGTGTACAATCATCCTGTCAGGAAAGATAAGGATTAGGCTTGTTATAGAAATTATGGGCTTTGGGATGAGAAAATTTAATTATTTTATGGGAAATCGTAGATATGCGATGCGATCTTATTAAATACACTTAAATACTTTAGTGTTAATTGCAGCATTGAACGTATTTTAAAATATTATCTGAATATTAATAAAGTATATAAATTTTCAAGTAATATAACAAATCAATATTATGAGTGTTTATAAAAATAAAAACCTATGGGCATTATCTTTCTATTAACATTTCATGAATAATCAAGTTTAATTCATTATCGCATAGTTGTATATCATATTACTAAAACGTTGCCGCGATAAAGCTGAAATTTCAAACAAGATTATACATGGTGTTTCTTGATCAGATTACACAACAGAAATAACTAAGTTAATAATTAATTTATGAATTTAAATTTACTTGTATTTTATTAGTATGTTTAATCACAAGCAAAGTGCAAAAGATAAAACTAGAAAGAAAAATTGATTTGAATTTACTCATTAATATTATAATAGATCAGACTTATTTTAATATATTTATAACAGAATAAAAAAGTAAAATAAAAATAAAAATAATAATTACGTTCAACACATTGCAATTTACACCTAAATAAAATGAAATGAGATTATTTTGCATCTATATCTGGCGTGAATTTTTTCAAATTATTGTTTGAATACTTATGATTTTGCCATTAACATTTAACTTAGAATTTACACCTTCTTGCTCCAAAACCTCGTATGGATCCTTGTATATGGGCATCAACTTCTTACACCTTTGTATGGTGTGTTATCTTTCATTAAAACTAGATCTCCTGCGTTAAAGTTTGACTCTTTAATATAAGAATCATAACGAAGTTTTGATTTTTCTTTTGACTTGATTAAATTCTCTCTAGCAATAGCGTTTATCTGCTGTAATCTGGTTTTAAGTTCATTAACAAAATTATCATAGGTATGTTGTATTTTAGGTTCTCTATTAACAAAGGCTGGTAGATCAGTTTTCCGCCCAAATACAAGTTCAAACTGCGAGAATTTTGTGGAAAAACGAAGTGTAGTGTTATGGACAAAAACGGCATAACTAATCCACGTATCCCAAGTTTTCTCATCTTTCCCAATGTACGACCTAATATAATTTAAAAACATATGGTGACACTTTTCTAAGGCCGCGTTTGACTAAGGATGATACATAGAAATATCGATTTTTTCGATCTTTAACAGTTTGCAAGTCTCTTTAAATATGGTGCTCATGAAATTTGTTCCCTGCTCGGTCAAAACTGCTTCAGGAATACCAAACTTAAGAATAATTTCGTTGACGAATGCCTTGGCTATTGTTTTAGCTTCTTGGTTCGGTATTGGTATGGCACCCGCAAACTTCGTCAAGTCGTCGATAAAGGTCAGCAAATACTTGTTATTATGATTAGAAGCTGGGTATGGACCACAAATGTCTAAGTTTATTTTTTCGAATGGGTAGGCAGCAGTTGTCGTTATTAACATAGGTTCCTTTGTATATTTTGTGCCTTATTCCTTTGACATTTTTCACATGTATTAATGAACTTCTCTAGGTCATTTTTCATATTTGGCCATAGGTAAAATTCTCGAATCTTTCTGTATGTTTTACCTATGCCTAGATGACCTCCTGCTGCTGGATTCCTGTGAAATTTCTCTAAAATATCATTAATTTCTTTATCGCTCAGATTGGTCTTTATAAAATCATAATAAAATTTTATTTTAATATTTGTGTCCTTGAATATAAATCTGAAAATAATTGAAATCACTTCAGCCTTGATATCCTGAGATTTTTACAGGAGCCAATTTTACAGGATTAGCGATATGTAGCTCCTTATATGTATGTTATTGGACTCAACGAGGTTTTTAAGAGACTGTATGCATTGGAACATGTCTTTTAGTTTAATTTTTTCGTTTTCTCCATGCGTTATTAAATAAATATATCTACATCCATTTTCAGTAGTTTGTATTTCTGAGTGGCAATCCGTGTTCCTCGTGAAATCTGCTCTTCTCTTGCTCACGAGCCAATAACTATTTATGAGACGGAATTAAAGTATTTTCAATAAAAATAAAATCGTATTTTGTCCATATAAAAGGGCATCACGAGAATTAAACAAAACGCCGACGGTATAAACGTGGTAATACACTACAAACGTTCGTTTGGTTTGTTTTACGGTAACATTATCAATGAACAAAAAAAAAAAAACATACGACTAAAATAATAGTTTTTATTCAATCTTAATCATTATCATACATAACAGATATAAAACTATTATATAATAACACTTAAACAATAGGGCCACCATAACACATTTAACTTATCGACCAAACATTTCGCGACGCACGGCAAAAAATATGACACAATGATATTTATATATGTAAACAAAAAATGATTCGAAAATATTAAAATGGCAAACAAAGCGGATGGTGCAATAATGATAAATAGGATACGGAAGTAAGAGTAATTAAGTTACGCGTATGATATAAAAACTAAGTGTTAGGAACTAACTAAACATTAAAATTAGTAAAAATTAGACAAACGTGAAGAAGAACAAAAACTTCTTGATCAAGAAAAAAAGACGACGAAAAAAAGTGTCACTGGCCGTTCTAGCTGTATGACGCACACAACTAGAGCGTTTATCCACCCGTCGGGTACAGGTCCGTACTTGGCAAGACCGAGTGAAACCTTTACCAGTGTCCCTGCGCCCGCAGAAATACGACTTCTAAAAGACAAATTATGCTTGCAATCTGCTCTAATTAACGAAGGTTGGCTAGTCCTTTCGTTACCGTGCCGCATACGATGTATAACTAGACTGTTCGCAATAGCCGTTGTGATCGTTATGCAAAGAAATCATATCCCAATCCTATTATTAGTAAGATCGGTTGGGTAAAGCCACGAATTAAGCACCAGGTAATTCTGACCCGGCAGAACTGAGGCCAACATTAGTACGCGCAAAAAAGAAAGACAGAAAATATTAAAAATGAACTAGTGGGGCGCATGGCATCGTGCTTTAAGGCAAATTGCTGGAACTTTCCGTACCAAAAATTATTATTTTTTAAAAACAATTAACATTCTTGAAAAAATTTTACTTCGAAAAAAATTGATTTTCGAGAATCTATAAATTTGAAAAAAATTACTTCTTTCGAAAAAAAATTTATTTTGAAAAACAAATGTTTTCTTTATTCTGACATATATTGAAAATTCAGAACTTTTTTTTAAACCAATCGTACTGCTTTAACTGCATAGAGACGAAATGTCAAAGCGCGTAAGCGCCGCGTCATTGTCTAATGGATAAACATAGGTACGGAATCCATAGGAATGTAAACAAAATTTATACTTATTGTTAAAATCTCTATAAAATATCTGATAGTTTGATGTGCATATGTCTAATGATCATTTTTGACCGCCAAATGTCATTTTTTTTTTACTTCTTTTTATTAGATCTCCAAAACCGCTAGACTTGCCTTCATGAAAATTTGATCAATTCTTCATCTTGTCAATACGAGTAAAATGTTTTTGCTTGTTCTCTTAATACTGAGTTACCATTTTTGTCACTTTTAGCCCCGTATCTTCGGAACGGCTAAACCTGCCTTCGCCAAAAACTAATCAGCACGTCTCCTTATCAATACGAATAGAATGTTTTTTAAATTGTTCAAATCGGTTGATCGGTGTTCCCGAAATCGTCGACAAAAATTTGTATCCGCACACACACACGCACACATACATTCATTTTTTCTAAGGTATGCCAAAATATTCAGAAACTTTTGAAACGTAAAGATATATAAAAAATTTTTCATTTTCGATTTTTTTGCGATTACTATAACTTGCCCTACGGGAAGTTAAAAACATTATGAAAACAAATGGGGCGCATGCCATTGTGCCTTAAGGCAAATTGCTGGAACTTTCCGTACCAAAAATTATTTTTTATTAAAAAGATTAACATTTTTGAAAAAAATTTACTCTGAAAAAATTAGATTTTTGAGAAACTATAAATTTTTAACAAAAATTTACTTTTTTTTGAAAAAATAAAAGAATTTTTGAACAAAAATTTATTTTGAAATATTTTGGAAATTCATAACATTTTTTCAAAGCAATCGTACTGCTTTTACTGCATAGAGATGAAATATCGAAGCGCGTAAGCGCCGCGTCGCCGTCTAACGGATAAATATTGGTACGGAACTCATAGGAATGTAAACAAAATTTTTACTTATTGTTAAAATCTCTATAAAATATCTGATAATTTGATGTGCATATGTCTAATAATCATTTTTGACCGCCAAATGGCATCGCTTCATCCGTGTTCCCGAAATCGTCACACACATACACGCATACACACACACACACAGAAATTAGATATTTCATTGTAAAAAATTATAATAGTTCCATCAGTTTTAATAATTTACTTATAAGTTAGTGAGCTGAGTGAACCTCGCCTCTGATAGAATTTTTGTTAAAATGTTCCCCATCAGAGAGGACATAGTGTCAAACTATGCTGGTGATACAATCAATGAATCAAATAGTCTGAACACAGCACTATGCCCAGGTTTATCAAATATATCCCAAACCCGCTGACCAGCTCATGCGACGGTATGACTAGTAAAGTAGAACCAATGGCTGAACTGTCACATATAATTTTAGAAAACGTCATTTTATAACGGAATGAGTCATTGGAATGAGTAGACAAAATAAATAGAACCAGAAATGGAGACTTGTTGATAACTATTTCTAAAAAAAGTGCGGACAAAGGCCAAGGACTACAACAGATTATTGCAGGTGTGTTAAAGGATGAGGCCGAAGTTATTTATAAGAGGCACCAAGAAACTATAGAAATAAGGGATATCCATGATGAAACCTCAAAAATTGATATTCAGATAGCACTACAAAAAGCAATCGGAGGAGCCTGCAACACACCAGCAGAAGCAATTAGGATTCGTAAGGCATATAGAGGTACCCAGATTGCTACTGCAGCTCTTCCAGCGACAATTGTACACGATCTGCTCAAAGCAAGTAGCAAAATACAAATTGGATGGGTCAACTGTCAAATTAAAATTATCAAGGAACTAATCCGATGCTTTAAATGCTGGCTATTTGGACATTATGGATCACAGTGCAAGAGCGAAGTGAATCGGACTAATCTATGCATTAGATGTGGACAAGAAGGCCACTAAATAGCCAACTGTATAAATGCAGCAAAATGTGCACTATGCGCTGAAAATGGAAACTCTGAAAATGTAGCACATCATGCCGGCACTCACAGATGTTCTGTATATAGGAAGGCCATGGAGAAAATAATGAATGCAAAAGCATGAAGATAATGAAGCTAAACATAAATCATTGTGAGGCTGCATACGGCTTGCTTATGCAGACGGTAAGAGATATGGAAATTGATGTTGCCCTCTTATCAGAACCTTACAAACAATTAACTGATTGACCATGGACAGTACCATCAAAGCTGTTATTTGGTCCTGTGGCAAATTTCGTTTCCAAAATGTTGTCAACAATAGCAATGCTGGATTTGTCGCAGCATTATTAGATGGCATACATTTATACATCTGTTACGCTCCACCTAGTCTTTCTTTGACAGATTTTATCGATTTTTTAGATCGTCTTGTGAAGGATGCAAAACAACACCACCCCGTAGCGATAGCCGGTGACTTTAACGCATGGGCGGTAGACTGGGGAAGTAGAAAAACTAATGCAAGAGGTAATGCACTTTTAGAGGCCTTTAATGCACTTGACGTTGTTTTACTAAATAGTGATGATAAGCCAACCTTTGTCAAGGGCACTGCAAGCTCAATAATAGACCTTACTTTTGTTAGCAATAGCTTCGTTAGAGAAAATTGCAATTTGGAGGTATTAGATATCTACATTGCTAGTGACCACAATGCAATCACCTAGGAAATATCAACGGAAAAAAACATTAGAAGACATGCGGAAATATCTAAAGCCATTGGGTGGAAAATAAAATCTTTTGATGAAAGCGCCATGAGAGTTGCCTTTAATTGCAAATCTATACTTTCAGAATACGCAGATGAGCATACTAGAGAGCTGATGGAGAGAATAACCAAAGCCTGTGATATCAGTATGACTCGTAAACATGGCATAAATCAAAGACAATCTGTGCACTGGTGGACTGAAGAAATCAGCTCTCTTCGTAAAGAGTGCATGGAGAACACACCAGATGAACCATCATCCTACCGTCCAATACAGCGGATAAATTTTTTGAAAGAATAATACATAAAAAAATAGATGCTGTAGTTGACCCAATCCTAGCAGACAATCAGTATGGTTTTCGCAAAGGGCGATCAACTATCGACCTATAATCTTGGTAGTTAATATTGCCAAGGAGGCAATTGCTGGAACCAGGCGGAAGGGGGGTGCAAAATATAAAAAATGCTTTTAATTCTGCAAACTGGGATTGCATTATGAATGCTCTCCGTGACAAGAACGTGCCAGCATACCTGTGCAATATAGTTGCAAGCTACTTTACAGAAAGAATTCTTATGTACGATTCACGCGATGGTACAGAAGAATATAATATATCAGGAGGTGTGCCGCTGTGGAATATTATGGATGATGGCTTTTTGAGGCTAGAGATTCCAGAATGTGTAAAACTAGTAGCATATGCAGACGATGTTGCCATAGTAGTTGCCTCCAAACAAATTGATGACATCGTAAGTTTATTCGATATAACATTTAGAAAAATTAATCGCTGGATGGGAACAATGAATCTCCAATTAGCACAACAAAAAAGTGAAGCTGTTCTTATCACTAGTAGAAAAACAATAGAGACCCTCAAGCTAAAGATAGGAAATCTAGAGATCACGTCAAAACCTCACATTGGTTACCTTGGCGTAATGCTTGATGCTCGTTTGAATTTCAATCGACAGGTGGAACACGTTAGTGTTAAGGCGTCAATAGTTAGGACGAGACTTGCTCGATTGATGCCTAATGTTGGAAGTCCTAAACAAACAAGAAGGATATTACTATTGTCAGTTGTTACTTCGGTGCTGACATATGGTATCTCCATATGGGCTGATGCTCTTAAATCTCAAAAATCGAGGAGAATGGCAGGGCCTATATATCGTCTGAGTGCTATAAGAATTGCTTGCGCTTTTCGCACAATATCGGCGGAAGCAGTGTGCGTCATTTCAGGAACTGTGCCTCTCTTAGCCTTAGCAGAGGAAAGACGGTCAATTATTATAGAAGACATCAACAACTGGCAGCAACTGTGGGATGTGACAGTGAAGGGCAGATGGACGCATCGTCTCATTTCAAACATCAAAGCCTGGCCAAGTTGCACTTTACTTTTTGCCCCGTATCTTCGGAACGGCTAAACCTGCCTTCGCCAAAAACTAATCTGCACGTTTCCTTATCAATATGAATCGAATGTTTTTTAAATTATTCAAATCGGTTGATCGGTGTTCCTGAAATTGTCGACGAAAATTTGTATCCGCACACACATACACACACGCACACACACATACATACACAAACACATACATCCATTTTTTCTAAGGTATGCCAAAATATTCAGAAACCTTGAAACAAAAAAATACATAAAAATTTTCATTTTCGATTTTTTTGCGATTACTATAACTTGCCCTACATGAAGTAAACTAATCTGCACGTTTCCTTATCAATATGAATCGAATGTTTTTTAAATTATTCAAATTGGTTGATCGGTGTTCCTGAAATTGTCGACGAAAATTTGTATCCGCACACACATACACACACGCACACACACATACATACACAAACACATACATCCATTTTTTGTAAGGTATGCCAAAATATTCAGAAACCTTGAAACGAAAAAATACATAAAAATTTTCATTTTCGATTTTTTTGCGATTACTATAACTTGCCCTACATGAAGTAAACTAGTGGGGCGCATGGCATCGTGCCTTAAGGCAAATTGCTGGAACTTTCCGTACCCAAAATTATTATTTTTTAAAAAGATTAACATTTTTGAAAAAAAAATTGCTCTGAAAAAATTAAATTTTTGAGAAACTATAAATTTTTGACAAAAATTTACTTTTTTTTGAGAAAAAAAAGAATTTTTGAAGAAAAATTTATTTTGAAATATTTTAGAAATTCTGAACTTTTATTCAAAGCATTCGTACTGCTTTAACTGCATAGAGACAAATTATCAAAGCGCGTAAGCGACGCGTCGCCGTCTAACAAATAAACGTTGGTACGGAACCCATAGGAATGTAAACAAAAGGGTATGGGCGCATTGTCATATAGAATCGGGCCCACCCTGGTATTTAAATAATTTATATGCCATTTTATAGGTCTAAATGATAAAAACCGATATACCAATTTTCAACTTTATATCTCATCTTATGGCCGAGATATCATTGAAAATATGCCAAAGTGGCCCCTTTTTTCAAAGTCACTTTTTCGCGTAACCATAAAAGATACCAAAAAAATTTTACGCTATCCTACTCACATTGAGTCGGACCATATTAAGTAGAACAATCGATGCCAAAATATCGTTTATTATTAGCTGAAAAAGACAAAATAATTTTTCTATTGATATTTTTGGGTAGTGCGTTTAGTTGGACCACTTTCTAATTAGCGTTATTCCAAAGCTTATTGTTTTTTTCTTTTAGTACTGAAAATATTGTTCAAATCAATTTGGTGGAACACATTGGAAAATTGAAAAAAACCGGAGCCAAAACACCCGCGCGTAACGCTAATAGTACCCTGCAATTGCATAGAGTTCGTTCCAACGCAAAGCAGTGCGCGATGCGCCCGAAATGATTCCTAAGAAATTCTGAACTTTGAATTCTGAATCTGAAATACAATTTCATTTATTTATCACTGTGAGTAATTTAATTAAAGTAATAAAAGAATTTTAATTATATTATTAGAAATAAAAATTTATTGGTGTTGTTTTAAAATTTACAAGTGCATCATATGATTTACACAAATACTTCGGTATGCTAAATAAATAAATAATAAATCATTTAAAATTATATTTTGTTAGTTTAATCGTCATCACTGTCGTGGTTAATAGCAATCGAAGTTTCCACTATTATAAAAATTTTCTACAGTATTTCTGATGGACTTATAATATATAATAGCCGCAATATGTGAACAGCAACCAACAGTCCTCAATCCATTGGGACAACTACAGCACTATCTTAAAATACTTCGATAGTTGGTGCCAAGCGGAGTATATTCAATATAAACATTATATTTTTTGTTATTTATATGCCGTTATTGGACATCAATTCTAACTATATTCTTATATTCTTTTACGTAATATAACTTCGGGTGATTTTGGTAAGACAACATTTTAGCCAGGTAAGATATTGCTTGTGATAACTGGTATGACCCAGTGAATAATATTTTAAGTTCTCGTTCATTCAATTGTGGGAAATTTAACAACTGATCTGGCTGAAGAAATTGAAGTGTTTTTGCTCGTCTGGTCCATCGATTTTCAATAACTTCATCATGTAAGGTGTTGGGTATACTTTGTTCATTCATATAGTTGATCATTTCATCAGCCAAATCTCCATCCGATGATAATCGTTTTCCATACTTATTATGTAAAAAACCTACAATTTTACATATTGTTTGGACTTTAGGCAATAATTTATTTTTTAGTGTGTTGTGTAAAAGCCGATATCTTTGCGCAATATTACCATGCACAGCTTCAATTACCCGTCGAAGTTTTGTAATTCTTCTGGATTTGTTTGCCTCTTCTGTTGTAAGTTGTTTTCTTCTACCCCTGCAGCATGGTATAAGAAGCACATATCCTGCTGATTTTATATCCGTTAGAGCATCACAAAAAACGCGATCTACCAATAGAATATCATCAAGTTGCAAGAAAGTTCTGATGCCATGCGCATGTTTTAATATAATTTTCATGATTGTGGCATCATTTTGTGTTGCCAGATATGGGCCTAAAAAGTCAACCATGAAACCATTTGTTGTACAAATTGTAAGTGGTTTGCATAGTGGTACCCGCTTTCGGCCAGAAATTTTCTTTTCTTTGATATTCATTATTTGCGCTCTTTTCTTGTCGTATATATGTACCATCACATATTAATGCCAGTTGCTCATTGGTTAATCCCAGAATTTTTTGTGCGTTGTATGATGTCTCCGATATTAATTGGTCTGTGGTAAAAGACTCTAATACAAAATTTTGATCCAA